TCCTTTTCCTTTCCTCTGTATTCTTCCCTTTTTTTTGAGGAGGTGAGAGGTGAGGAGGGGCTAACTACTTGGTACTTCATTTCTAACATTTTCACACTTGGTCCCTGAATTGTTGAGTATGCTTCTCTTAAGAGCAAGAACATGTTCCTGCAGAATCGTGATAACATTATCACAGTCAGGAGGTTAAATATCAACACAGTAGTACCTCATATGTATTCCAGATATGAATATATTCATATTCAGATATTCCGATTGTTCTTTCTAGATGCTTTTTATTCTGAGGCTGTATGTGATTGGTTCTGTGCACTCAGTGAGATGATCATATCTGTTTAGTGTCCTTTTCTCTACGGTAACTCACAGTTTGTATGTGTATGTGTGTGTGTGTGTGTGTGTGTGTAAGATTGATTTATTTATGGCTGCCCTGGGTCTCTGTTGCTGTGCAAGGACCTCTTCCAGTCGTGGTGAGCAAGGCCTGCTCTTTAATGTCAGTGCACAGTCTTCTTATTGTGGTGGTTTCTCTCGTTAAGAGCGTGGGCTCTAGCGCATATGGGCTTCAGCAGTTGCAGCTCAAGGGCTCAGTAGTTGTGATGCATGGGCTCAGTTGCCCTGCGGCAGGTGGGATCTTCCCAGATCAGGAATCTAACTTGTGTCCCCTGTCCTGGCAGGTGGATTCTTTACCATGGAACCACTAGGGAAGCCCTTCTTTGTTTTTAATCTTTTACCACACTGACTTTTTTTGAAGAGTTCAGGCCAGTGGCTTTGCAGAAGTCCCTGAATGTGGATCTTTCTGTTTCCTCCCATAGGGATTCAGGTTATTTGTGTTTGGGGGCAGGAAGACCAGGTGATGCTATAACCTTCTCAGAGCATCACATCAGAGGCACCAGGTGAGGTGGTGGAGATGTCAACCCCGGTCACTCGGTCAAAGTGGCTTCTCCCTTGTCAGGGCACGTTTCCTTCTTCAGAATAAGGAACCCTTGGGGTGGTATTTTAAGGCTGTGAATGTTCTGTTCCCTAAATCTTTCACCTACTGATGTCAGCATCCATACATGAGCCTGCCATTCATCAGTTCTGCACGGTGGCGGAGATATTAATTGCCGCTTTCAGACAAAGCTTAAAAGGGGAGCTGGCCAGATCTCAGGTGCCAGCCTCCCCACTGTGACCACGTCCTGTATCTCCTGCTCACTGGTTTATCTTTTATAAGCCTCTCCTCCTTTGTCCTCCCTCACATCTGTCTTAGAAATCATGGTGTTGAAAATCATCGGGTTCTTTCTCAGATTGGATTCCTAGACGCAGAGCCTGAGACAGGGCTTATAGGATGTGATAGGAGAAAACCAGACAGAGATGTGGGGTCAGCTGGGCTATATTCTCCGCCTGACCCTGCAGGGAGCTCTGAAGTTTGACTGGCACCTACCTTGAACCTGTCCCACCTTGAAGCCAGAAAGCCTCTTCTCCATCCATGTTACTGAGTCCTGAGCCATGCATCTGCTTCCAGGGGGTGGGGGTGGTATAGCTTCCTGGGTTACCCAGGGAAGGAAGCAGCTGTGGGCTTTTGGCAGCCAGCACTCACCGTAACAGGGGCACGGGTGCCTGGTTGATCAAGAGGATCTTGGCAGGCAAGGCGCCAACCGCATCCACTACAGCTTCAGTGTTTCCCTCATTAGTTCTTTCCTGAGGCTTGTCCCCATAAAAGCCAATCTGTCCTATAATTATAGGCTATAAACCTCAGACAGCCGGCTGCATAAAGGCGTGAGCTTAGTCATTTGCAAAGACAAGGTCTAATTTATGGTTGCTCCTTTATGAGGCCCCATGAATCTTATTCACCGCCTTCCTGTCTGGGCCCTGGCTTTTAAAGGTGAGGTCAGTTGTGAGAACAAAGGCTTTGTAGCTGCTTAACAACCAAGGCTGCTTAACCACACAGGCTGGGCCCTTCTAAGGATGAGGTATCAACCTATTCACTCTCAGTACACAAGTGTCCAGACTGCCATGTTGTGGGGGAGGAGAATTTGGTCTTGGTAAAATATCTCTTGGCTCCCCTGGTGGCTCAGACAGTAAAGAATCTGCCTGCAATGCAGGAGACCTGGGTTTGATCCCTGGGTCGGGAAGATCCCCTGGAGGAAGGCATAGCAATCCATTCCAGTATTCTTGCCTGGATAATTCCATAGACTGAGAAGCCTGGCAGTCTACAGTCCATGGGGTCGCAAAGAGTCAGACACGACTGAGCAACTAACACTTTCACTTTCACACTTCCAAAATATCTCCAACTTGAGATGGCAGGGCTGACATGTGCCTTTATTTGGTTTCCTAAAATTATTATTATTTTTTTTCAAAACATTTATTTATTTATTTGGCTCTGCCGGGTCTTAACTGCGGCATGTGGGAACTAGTTCCCTGACCAGGGATCAAACCAGGACTCCTGAACTGAGAGCATGGAGTCTTTGCCACTGGGCCACTAGGGAAATCCCCTGAGAGCTCTTTCAATGGCATGTTACGTGTATCCTCTCAGCCCCAAACAAAACACAAACACCAACCACCTAATTGGGTCTGAGTCTAAGTGCATATTTTGCTCTTAGGCCTGTGCTCCTCGAGTTCTGGGGCTGGCAGCATCAGAATTCCCCCCAGAGTTTGCTAGAAATGCAGAGTCCTGGGCCCATCCCAGACCTGCAGAATCAAAACCTCTGGGGCTGAAACCAGGAAGCGCCTGTGGCTTCACACCCCCAGGGGATTGCTCCCCCAGGCTCAAGGGCTAATGCAAAGCAATGATTATAAACTTGGGTGCAGGCTGGGGCTGCCTGAGGAAGCTGAACCATTGTGATGTCTGCATTCTGCCCCCAGAGTGTCTGATTTATTTGATCTGGGGGTGCTGTCTAGCCATCACAAAAATGTAAACTCCCTAGGCAATTTTCATGGGCAGCCAAGGGTGGAAACCCGTGCTGTAAAGTTGCCTTCTTTACCTCATGGGAAAGGAATGTTTACACCAGCTTCATTGTGAAGAGTTTGTTCTGAGCACTGCAGAGATTCTCTTCAAAACACCTGGAGGCCCTGGAATGGCATTTCCAGAATGAGGAACTACCCTTTCTGGGCACAGATGGTCCCATATGGAAACTTGCACAGCAGTAAAGGAAAACACTCCTTACTTGAGAGCAGATGAAATGTAAATATTGAATGGAAGCCCGAGATTCTTTAGATCTAGAGATTCTTTAGATCTGGAGCAGGTATAGAGGTGGCAGGGGAGAAGGTGGGGTGCAGTCTTGGTGGCCCATGTGCTGTCATGGGGCGGCGGGGGGTGTGTGGTTCCTAAGTCTGCGTGCCCCCACGTGACCTCTTAGAGCAGAGTGGTCCACAGCGGGGTGGCATACCTCCTCTCCCCTCTCCCCTTACATTCAGACCCCATCACCTGTCTTCCTCACTGTTGAAGGCTTCCTTCAGACCACATGTATGGGTCTCTTGGAGTGCAGACATTTGAAGATGATGTGTACCCCACCTGAACTCAGCCGTGCAGACATGGGTGGTCAGGCTTGGTGGTCAGGCTGTTCGGGGACCACAGGGATGACCAGCATGGAGAACCCTGAATGTGGCAAAGGAAAGACACCCCAGAGCTTAGGCAGCCTTAGACGGGGACCTCCACCTTCTCTCAGCAGAGCGCTGTTCCTTGGCCTGAGCCTCCTGGTCCTCTTTTTGAAAGCTAGGATCCTGGCACCTCCTTTCAGGGCTACTGTAAAGGAGCAGATAAGAGAGTATTTCTGAAGGTTTGGCCAACAGTAGACACCACCTGGTTACAGCCATCTTGTGTTTGTGATGCCACCTGTTAGCTGCAAAGCTGGAGAAACACCAAATTTCTGGGATTTCTGGCTTTGCCATTTCTTGGCTGTTTATTACTCTGGAGCTTGCTGAACCTCAGTTTCCTCACTTGTAAAATCGGGATTAAGTACTCAGAAACAGGATTAGGGTTGGGGGGCAGAGATGATATCCATCAAGGGGATATTTTTGTATTGAGATTTCATTCACACACCATAAAGTTCAGTGGTTTTTTTCAGTATTTCACAAAGTTGCACAGCCATCAGCTCATCTCATTCCAGAACATTTTTGTTACCTGGAAGGAACCTCCAAACCCTTTCGTGGTCATGACCTACCCCAACCCCTCCCCAGTCCTTGGCAATCACTGATCTTTCTGTCTCTATGTTTTTATCTAACCCAGATATTTTGCATAAGTGGGATCAGCACGCTGTTGTGCCTGGTTTCGTTCACTTAGTGTGGGATCCTCAGGGTTTCATTCCATTTCATGGAGTCTTCAAAGTCTTCCATTTTGTAGCATGGATCAATGTCTCAATCATAAAAAGAATCAATGACCATTATGGCTGAATAAAATTCCATTTTCTGGATTTACCCCATTTTATTTATCCTTTCTTTAGTTGATTGGAGATTTGGACTGTTTCCACTTTATGGCAACTATGAATAATATTCATATGGTTTTATGAATAGTGCAATACCATTCCACTGTGGGGTTCTATTAGAAATAATATTAATAGTGAAAGTGAAAGTGCCTGAAAGGAAATAAAATCCAGTTCATATGGATATATGTGTGCCTGAGGACTGTTCGTGTCTTCAGAGCTTGCCTAGTCATGCTCTTGGCAACATGGTTACTGTATGGAATTTAGCACTTAGAGTTTCTTTTTGCTCAAAGTGAAGACATGCCCTAATAGCAGAAAACAGAGTAAACAGCATTTAGGATATTTAGAACCCTGTGAAAACTGAGTTAGAAAGGGAAGGTTGAGTGTGTTGAGGGGTGTTGAGGACTTGCTACAATGTTAGACATACAGAGCGATATAGAACCCAGTGTCTGCCTCTGGAAAGCTTTCAGTCTGAAGGGGAAGACAGAAGAGGTGGTGATGAAGGTTGGGGCCCCGGGCCAGGATAGGTCCAGCCTAGGAGACCGCAGGGTGCTATCCTCATGAGGGAGACCTCGCTGCAGCTGTCTGACCCCTGCCGATTCTCTCTCCTAGCATGGTAAGACACAAGGACGATCACTACTCCAAGGAAACGGACGCCAAGACCTGCCCCCGGGACTCTGGCTATGACAGCCTCTCCAACAGGCTCAGCATCTTGGACCGACTCCTGCACACCCACCCCATATGGCTGCAGCTGAGCCTGAGTGAGGAGGAGGCGGCCGGAGTCCTGCAGGCGCAGCCTCCGGGGGTAAGACTCTAAAGTGGGGAAATGGGGAGGCAGGCAGGGCCGTCACTTCCCTAAAGAGAAAGACGGTGAGTTCCAGAGAGTTCTTCCCAGCCCCTAGGGAGCATGGTGCCCGGTGTGTGTGTCTCCTTACAAGGCAGAGAAATTCTGGAAACTATGGAGGCAGCTCCCAAAACAGAGCCCTTCATCTGCCCTTGGGACCTCAAGACTCTGAGGGATAACAGGGCACCTGGGTACTGAGGAGGGGCCACTGGCCCCGGGCCCTGGGCCTGACTTCTTGAGATGTGACCTGGAGGATGAGCCTGGTGTGGGGTCCTCAGTCTGTGGTTTTCCTTTCATTATGAGCCCGGGAGCCCTGGCCTGGGTCCAGCCATCCAATTCAGGACCCAGCCTTCTAAAATTGCACATTCCTAGTCTTGTCCGCTCTGGCTGCCAGAGTCATCCTCTTTCCCTTGTGTGGTCTCAGTGAGAAATCAAAGCCCAGTTTGGTTTCTTCAGCACTCCCTCCCCAAGGCTACACAAGGCTTCCCATATGGCTCAGCTGGTAAAGAATCTGCCTGGGCTCAATCCCTGGGTTGGGAAGATCCCCTGGAGAAGGGAAAGACTACCCACTCCAGTATTCTGACCTAGAGAATTCCATGGATTGCATAATCCATGGAGTTGCAAAGAATCGGACACTACTGAGCAACCTTCACTTTCACCCAAGGCTAGTCTTATCTAACTCAAGCCCACTCCATGATGCTATAGAAGTTTCTTAGAAAATGTTATTTGGTGATAGGTAGATATATTCTGTGCTATCTGACATGGTGGCCACTGGCCTCATGTAGCTATTTAAATTACATTAATAAAATAGAATAAAACATTTGGTTCCTCAGTGGCACTAGCCATATTTAAGATCTCACTATCCCCAATGTCTGTGTGGCTACCATATTGAATGGACGGTGCAAAGTATAGAACGTTTCCACCATCATAGAAAGTTCTTGGGGACAGCACTTGTGTACGATGTACACTTCTAAAACAAGGGTAAATACAATAAATCACAGATAAAATAAGACTGGAAACAACACACCACAAGAGATAGAAACTAAGAAATAGATGGAGAGGCGGGGAGAAAATTCCTTCCGTAGCTGGCCAAGGAATGTTGTAACAGCTGGACACAAAAATAAACTTTCCAGTTTCCTATCAGCCAGAGCTTGTCGGTTGTCACTTTTTGACTCACAAGTGAGTCTTTGTTCCTCATCTGATGGAAGCAGACAAGACTAAGTCCTTGCTGGAACACATTCAGGAGGACAGGCGCAGTATTGGATGATCCTTGCGGAGAATTCCTTGGCCAGCTCACCAGGTTGTTACCTCTGGTTTTGGTCTATATGATCAGGACCCCTTTCTGTGAGGCCCCCACTTTTTGCAAGTTGAGTTGTCTGCTCCTGTGTTTCTGCAAAAAAAAATTCTAATGAGGGAGGTTGCCATGTTGCTAGGCAATACTTCATCTCCGTGCTCGCCCCAGCACCTGGAGTCAGGCACATCCATTCCTGCTGGAAGCTGGTGGGGAGCAAGTCAGGCAGGAAGTTCTCCACCTTCTGGATCCCTGGGCAGGACCTGCCTGACGGGATGGGGCTGAAGGCAGGGTGAGGAGGGGAGAGGCCACAGTTCACCAGGAGAAGCAAGGATCCTGAATAGAAGGAGGAGCAGGTGTGTGAAAGTGAAAGGTTTGAAAGACCAACCCTAGTGGCATCTGGTCCTTAGGGTGCCACCATCCCTAATTCATCTATAACCCTAAGACAAGGGTCAGCAAATTCTTTCTGTGAAGAGTCAGAATGTCAGTATTTGGAGCTTTGTGGCCATAGAGCCTCTGTCATAGCCACTCAACTCTGCCATCACAGGGTAGCCGCAGCTGTTTAAGTATGTAGACCAAGCAGCAAGGCTGTATGTCAATAAAACTTTATTTATGAAAGCAAGTGGCAGGATGGGTTTGTTCTGTAGACCATGCTTTGCCAACTGCTGACCTAAGGTTTTGGATGTTCAGGAGATAAGGCTCAGAGATTGTACCCTCCCTGAGCCTCAAGACTCAAGGAGACCCCCACCTCCCAAAGGGAAAAATACTTCTTTCCACCAACAGCAGCTGCCTCCCAGCAGTACTTTGAGGCTTTTCCTCATCACAAGAGCATTGTGGGACCACCCACTTCTGCTTCAGGGTGACCCAGAGCCATTGACTCCCATAGCTGGCACATTCTGTGGCCATCTTTCTGTGGTCGCTGGGGAAAAAGAGAGCCCTGAAGATGACCTTCCTGTCTTCCACAGACACCCAGCTCCTGTTACCCCTTCTCCCCCCATAAAAGTATCTCAGGAGCTACTTGACTGGACATCAAGAAAGAGATGACAATTAGGTGGGAAAAGTAAAAGGCTGCAGAAACGTAGGAGCAGATAGCCAAACACAGAGGAAAGAAAAGTGAAGAAACAGGACCAGATGGTCTCCTTGGAAGAAGGGTCATGAGTCACAGGAGGGAACCGGCATGCAGCCAGGCCACCACACCACAAACTCCAGGGAGTACCATTGCGTTTGTCATCTGGGTAGATGACGCCCCCAGGTTTGTGCAGTGCACACCTGAATGTGGCATACCCAGCTCTACAGTAACATATGCTTGGATGGCCTCCTGAGATCAGCACTGGACTTGGGCTGGTTTAAACATGCATCTAAAGACACCATTTGGAACTGAAGGGAGTTGTCGGAAAGCAAAGTGAGTCAGGAGTAAAGGGACCACCAGCCTGTGTGTTGGCTGGCGTGAACCTCAGAGCACTTCCCGTTTTCAGCTCCAGCAGATGTGGCCAAGCCAGGTCTTGCCTTATTATCCCATTTTCCAAGAGACGCTGGCCACTCAGATTTTCTTGTGTAAAGTGAAAGACCTTGTGCTTTTCCACTGTTGGCAACAAATTCAGATTTCTATCTTAAATACACCCATGAACCAGATTAGCCAATGAACTTCCAATTCTCCACCAATGGCTGAGCCATGTTACCTGTGTCTAGAATTTAGGGTTCATCAGCCAGGATGCCTTATCAGACATAAGCTGGAGAGTATGTATCATGAGCTGTAAAATAGTCACCAAACTGAAAATGTTTCACAGATTGAGGTGGTTCTCAGTCTCGTGGAGAAGTTTCCATCAAAGAGAAAGTGGGATCCTCCAAGACTGGTTACCAAAGGTGGGCACCCGTGGCCTGCTGGCTCATCAGTATCCATGGCAGCAATGTGCATCTGAAGCCCTGTAGTTTGGCTATGAGACGGGTTCCATGCATGGAAGCTACATGTGTAGGAAATGACACACCCAGGTCCCAGCCTTCTAGATGTCTCTTAAGCTTGCATTTCTTTTCCCTCCTGTAGATCTTCCTGGTTCGTAAATCCACCAAAATGCAGAAGAAAGTCCTCTGCCTTCGCCTGCCCTGTGAATTTGGAGTCCCACTCAAGGAATTTGCCATAAAGGAAAGCACATACAGTAAGTGGTCGTCAGGTGGTGAGGTCCCTGTGAAGTGAGGTTTTTAAGTAAGTGGAGGGGGAGAGGGCCTGCAACTTGAAGATGGACAGACGTGGGTCTGAGTCCTGGAGCTGTCACTTATTCCCTGTAGATAACCTAGCACAAGAGCCTTGGTTTTCTTATCTGTATAATGGGATGGTGGTAACCTCAGAGAGTGGTTGACAGTTCAGTTAAACAGCCTGTGTGCAAGGTTCGCAGTCTATTGCCTGGCACATGACAGGGCCTCACAGAGGCTAGTTTCCCAGTTACGCCGGGCATGGTCCCCAGGTTTGCTGATGGCTAAGCTGAAGGACGGGCTGCGCAACAGTCTTTTTTTGGGATCTCATGCCAAAGTGTGTGTCTGCACAGCCCTTGAATAGCCCTGGAGGGGATTGTCCCCTCTAGGCCATCCTTGTACAATGTTCTATAGGGGCAGCTGGTCATAGGCTGAATCCAGCTCTTTGGAGAAATGGACTGGCTGAAATTTTGGAGGGAGAGAATCAGGAGTGTTGGTTTCTTTCTGCTAATCTGTGGTCCCTGGAAACATGAAGTCTTTGGGAGGTCAAGTTTTCAAGAAAAAGGGGAACACACAATCCTGATGCCCTGTGAGGCTCCCAGTGACAATAGAATAGTGACAATAGAAGGGACCTACAGCCCCAAGGGGGAGGCCTTTCTCAGCCACAGGTGAGCGAGCCCAGGTGTTTAGGCCAGTTTGGATGCCATCGACTGTTCAATAAGCCGATGCAGACCAGATGCTCATTATAAGCTGAGCAGCCTCAGTCCCTGTCTTTGAAGGAACCGAAGGTCCTGAGACTGATTTGTGGGCAGATACAGGCTTCCACTCAGCCTGGAGTTCAGAGTCTTACTGAGCCAAATATCTATTAACTGGGTCTGGAGGAGATGTTTCTGGCCCCAGCGGAACTTGCCAGCCTCTGTGTGATCTACGACTGGCCTCAGGTCAGCTGTAGATGGGGTCTTATGATGTTTACCCCCAGGCCTCTTCCAAGGTCGCTGACGTCAGGGAAAAGCTCCCATGTGCAGAGTCATCTGAGCAGTCACTGAGCTTGGCTAATGATCTGCCTAATGTAAATAATGATCTTATTTACATTAGGAGGGAATCAAAAGGTAGATTTCAAACCCACCCTCTGAAAGACAATGAATTAAATATTAAGTGAAAAAGGGCGATGCTAAGTTGGCTTTTTAAAGTCAGCTAGCCAAGAAGTGATAAATCTAAGTGGTTTTTAAATCCCTTCTAATGTCCACAGTTGAAAAAGCTGGTGTAAAACTCAACATTCAAAAAACTAAGATCATGGCAACCAGTCCCATCACTTCATGGCAAATAGATGGGGAAAAAGTGGAAACAGTGACAGATTTTATTTTCTTGGACTCCAAAATCACTGCAGACAGTAATTGCAGCCATGAAATTTAAAAACTCTTGCCCCTTGGAAGGAAAGCCATTTCAAACCTAGACAGAGTATTAAAAAGCAGAGACATCGCTTTGCTGACAAAGGTCTGTCTAGTCAAAGTTATGATTTTTCCAGTAGTCATGCACGGAAATGTAAAATTGGACCATAAAGAAAGCTGAACGCCAAAGAATTGATGCTTTTGAACTGTGGTGCTGGGGAAGTCTCTTAGAGAGTCCCTTGGACTTGAAAGGAGATTCAACCAATCCATCTTAGAGGAAATCAACCTTGACTATTCACTGGAAGGACTGATGCTGAAGCTAAAGCTCCAATACTCTGGCCACCTGATGCAAAGAACCAACTCATCGGAAAAGACCCTGATGCTGGGGAAGATTGAGGGTGAAAGGACAAGATGGTTGGATGGCATCAGCAACTCAATGGACATAAATTTGAGCAAATTCTAGGGGATAGTGAAGGACAGGGATGCCTGGCGTGCTGCAGTCTATGGGGTCACAAAGAGTCGGACAATTTAGTGAATGAACAACAACTCCCACAGTTTACCGTGATAAGTCAGCTTGCAAATCCCATCCACCTTCCTCTCCTACGATAAGTACAGTTAGTGTTTTGTATTTTAAACTTCTCTTGTTGTTCGACTGAGATCCCTCCCTGGCTGCATGATTTTCCTCCCTGTTTTGCGAAGATCTTTATCACTTCTCTGGTTTTAAAGTAGCTGAAAGAGCTAGTCTGCCTAGTCTGAGCAAAACATTAACCTGCCTATAACTGGTTACCACAGGCCTCCCATGATGACCCCTTCCTGGGCAGGGTCTACCTTCTTTGCAAGGAAGGGCTGGCCTTAAAAACATAGATATTTTTGGACTTTGCTGGCGGTCTAGTGGCTTAGACTCCATGCTCCCAATGCAGGGGGCACAGGTGTGATCCCTGGTCAGGGAACTAGAACCCACATGCTGCAACTGAAAGGTCCCATGCCTCAACTAAAGCTCCTGCATGCCCACAACTAAGACCCAGCACAGCCCAATAAATAAATATAAAAAGCAAAACCAAAAAACCCCAAACCTCATAGCTATTTCGTCATAACATCTGGACAGTGTTTTGCATAATAAGTACCAACTCATGTCTGCATAGAACTGCTTTCAAAGAAGTTACTCCCTTTTAAAAAAATTGCACTACCCACTACTCTCCTTCTGGAAGACAAGGGAAGTATAATTATTGTCCATTTTACAGATGAGAAAACCCAGAGCAGAGATGTTAACCTACCCAAGTTCGTTCCCTTTTACTCCACAATTGTGGTACATATGTGTATGTTTCTCTTTCTGTGTCTGTCAGTCAGGGTATATGTGTAGGGGTAGTAAAGAAATAGTAAGTAAGCGAAATAATACAACACAAGCAAGTAACAAGCAAAATAAATGAGGATTTGGAAGGGGGAGAAACTCATCTGAAGTTAGGGAGTCGTCACAGAGCTGAAGCTCTTTGGAGAATTTCTGGAAGAAGGGCAGCCAGGGTGGTGTTTCAGCCAAGACAGTGTAAGGAGTGGTTGGCAAATACATGAATTTTTGAAGTCGAGCCACTCTCTCTGTTCCATCATTTGGAAGATTTACAGAATGGCACACCATCTTGCCAGAATACTTCTTTGTTGGAAGGTTGCACACTTAGTGGAGACAGTGGGGTGGGGCGGGGGCTCTCGAAGTAAATCAATTTTAGCATGTTTCCTGCGGAGTTGAATCCAAGCTGATGTATGGGAACCTGTGTTATACTCCAGGCTTCATGCTCCTTCTGCCTTTTGTCTTAACCACAAGTGGCGCATTTGTGATCCAGGAGGTCCAGCCCAGGAGGGTCAGGCTTGAGGGGGGCCTTGGTGTCCCCCTATGCCCTGCCTCCTGCTAGCCTTTCGCTCCAGCCCATCTGACCCTTTTACTCTGCCCAGTTTTGCATCCTGGACTTTAAAAAAAAGATAGTTGTGTAATTTGAGTCTGGGCTGCTCTGTTTACCAAGCACTGGAGCACGTGCTCCGATGAGTCAGGGGCTGGACTTGTGGGCTGTCCACACTTCCCTGGCCTGTCTCACCCGACCATGTGTCCTCCGTACAGCTGGTTCCTATCAGGTGCTCGGGAGTCGGTCAGGGAGCCCGGAGATGCTCCTGCCCTCCCAGCCAGCAATATCGAGGGCCTTTCCTTTCCCAGGATGCACTCGGGGACACTCAGCTGGTTTCCGAACTCTCTCTTTTCCAGCCTTTTCCCTGGAAGGCTCAGGAATCAGCTTTGCGGATTTATTCCGGCTCATTGCTTTCTACTGCATCAGCAGGTAAGGCTCCCTTTGTCTCCTGATGTCAAGCCACTGCTTGGTGACGGCGCTGTCACCAGCTCCCAGGTTTCTTCATTCACCCCGGGCAGGGGGCTCCGGAGGGCTTGTCAGCTATTGGGTGTCCCTGGAAGGATTGGCCCCTGAGGTAAAAGGGTCCCCAGGCCCCCCTGTGCCAGGCTTAAATGACTGCCCTGGCCCCTGTAAATGTAAAATCACACGCTCACATATAAAGGGGCCTGTGATACAAACCTGTCATGTTTAAAGATCCTGATATTCCTCATGGATGGAACTAAGAGTGTCACACGGAATGAAGTAAGTCAGACAGAGAAGCAGAAACGTGGTGTGACAACTGTATATGTGGAATCTAAACAGAAATGATACAAATGAACTTACAAAATAGAGACTCACAGACTCACAGACTTAGAGAAGGAACCTATGGGTGCTGGGGGTTGGGGGAGTGGAAGGGATAGTTAGTGCGTTTAGGTTGGATGTGTACACAGTTCTATATTTAACTGGATAGGGAACTTCTCCGGTGGTCCAGTGTCTAAGACTCTGTGCTCCCAACGCAGGGGGCCTGGGTTCAATCCCTGGCTGGGGAACAAGATCCCACATGCTACAATAAAAACCCGGTATAGCCAAATAAATAATTAAAAAAAAAAAAAGAAGAAACTGGATAACCAACAAGGACCTTCTGTATAGCACAGGCAACTCTGCACAATGTTTTGTGGCAGGCTGGATAGGAGGGGAGTTTTGGTGAGAGCGGATACATGTGTATGTATTGCTGAGTCCCTTCGCTGTCCACCTGAAACTATCACAACATTGTTAATTGGCTGTATGCCAATCTCCCCCCCAAAAAAACTCCTCTGGGATTGGAACACATAGGTTTTCAAGGCAGGGGCCTTCCGTGTCCTCCTTTGCCTGGCAAAGCAATATGTCCTTTACTACTTCAAAATAAATCAAGATCCTAATGTTTCTGAAAACTCCCCAGTGGATGCAGTTCATCTAGAATTGTGGGTGCCTTCAGCCCCTAAATCTTGCATCCCTCTCCTTTAGGCCCGCTGGGTACACCTGTCTTTTTTGTAACTAAAGGGACTGTTTCAGTCTACATGAAGCTAAGCCCCAAACCCCTATGTTAACAAGTGTCAGGAGGGCACAAATTGGGAAACACTTTCTTTTCTTGTGAGCCACTCCAGTTTCTCAAATCAAGGATTCTTTCTGTGAATCAGGATCGAAACACATTGTCTGCAGAGGCTGACATTGCTTCCTCTCAGGTAGCCTGGCTCGGGGCGGGGCCAGGGTGGGGGGTTGGTCCCTGGGTTTTTCTGCGCATCTGTTGCAGCTGACAGAGCAGAGATGAGCGTGTGTTCCTGGGGTGTTTTGCAAAAGATACTTCTCATCCCCGTCCCACCTGTGGCTGAGAAGTCTATTTGGAATCAGGTTATTTTATGTTAATTTAATATGTGGGCTGTTTCTCAAAAACTGAGTTAGATGTTTGTTGCACCTGTAGTACCAGACCCTTGGTGGGGCTGGGTGGTAGAGGAGGCCCAAGCTGTCCACTCCCGGAGGTCCTCAGACCAGGCCAGTCGCAGCCACGGTCAGCAGCCTGATGGGGGGTACTTTCAGAGGGGCAACAAACAGGGCTTTTACGCCCCTGAATGGGACTGACCGGGCCCCCGTGAGCACCCTGCAGGGGCCCCCACCTGCCCGGGTGTGAGGGGATCCGCCCAATTGAGGAGGGCAGTGCAGAAGCCCCCACGTCCCCACGCGTGCCCACCTGCTGTGGCACGAGCCCCTGAGAGGGGCTGTCAACCTGGCTGCGGGCCAGGCAAGGTTGGCTGGCGTTTGCACGTCAGTTCACGTCTTGATGGGCCCGCCGTTGTTATGAAAGATAGTCCCACCTAGGCTCTGTGACAGCCTAGAGGGCTGGGATGGGGTGGGAGGAGAGAAGGAAGCCCAAGAGGGAGGGGACGTATGTGTCCCTGTGGCTGACTCATGTTGATGTATGGCAGAAACAGCACAATGTTGTAAAGCAGTTATTCTTCAATTAAAACTAAATAGGTTTTAAAAAAAGATCGTCCCACCCAGAAAACAAGATTTGGCAGCCTGAGAAGTATATCATCTCTGCCATCAGTGGTCACGGTAGACTGGGTACCACTGTCCAGGGCCACTGGATGACTGGAGGGGACAGAGTCCATAGAAGCCTTGGTGACCTACACACATGATGCCAAGACAGGTGCTCACAGGCAGACCCCTCTGTTGACATTTTGTGATTAATAGCCAGTCTGCTTCTCTTTAGAAAAAACTACACATGGAGCAAAAACAAAATTAAAAAATAAAACGAGTACGCATGTACTAACACTCTTGAGTGAAACATTTTTAACAAAGGTGACTTTATTTTGTCTATCTTGAGAGTTTTAGAGCCAGGGTCTAGGTGAGAAGGAGGCGCCCCCTTTTGTGTATATGTGAGGAGGGGCTGGGTCGTGCCCTTGGCTGGCACGGTGGGAGAGGACTCACAAACAACATCTAATTTTCTAGTAGATCAAAGCCTAAAACCACCCATGAGTGAATGACAGGTGTGGTTTCCTGCCATCTATGTCATTAAGGAAAACCAAAACCAATCATGCGATGTTTTAGGCTCTAGGTACTGTGCTGGGCAAAGTAAAATCTTAAAATAAATGTAGGTTGGTTTTTGTTTGGGGCTTCCCAGGTGACTCAGTGGTAAAGAGCCCGCCTGAGTCAGACAATACGTGGTTTTCCTCCCAGATCCTCTAAAGAAAGTAGGTTTTCATGAAGTGGGCAAGCCATGGAAACATATATTTGCATGATATTTTGGCGTTACAAAGTTCTGGTTCTCGTTAGCCTTCATTTAAGATTATCATCAGGGCCATGGCCTCTCCTGGGTCAGGCAGCAGCTCTTACACAAATGCTGTGTCCCCTGACGCTCCACCTGCTTCATCCAGAACAGATGCACGGGGACAAGTAGAGGGAGGTGATCATAGCATCTAGGGGCAGAAGGGTCTCCTGGAAGCAGGATGTGACCCTGGCTTGACACCCTGGAAAGAGGAGCCTCTTGACTGCCAGCTCCTAATATTTATGTGAGCCCTCGTAACCCTGTTACACTCTATTCATGTTTTGCTCTTTTCGTAGACCTTACTACTTTGTTATTCATTGTCAACAGCCTCAAGGGCTCCAAGATTCTCTAGTCATCCAGATTTAATCTGCTGCAGCCCAGAGTGTTGCCCAGTCTTACTGTAAATGACAAGTTGTTTGGTGTAGTTACTTTCTTCAGTGGAAATATCCAGAGCGTCTTGTGCAGACAGAACACAGACACTCCAAGCATTGCCCTCACACACTTCACCTCAGGCATGGGAGGGGAGGGGTCTCCTTGCTGTTCTTCATAGACACCAGACACTCTCCCATCCCAGGGCCTTTGCACCTGCTGTTCCCTCTGCCTGGAATGTGAGGCCAACTCTCATACTTGAACCCTCTTTATTTTTCTGCTTTTGTGCTTTATTTTTATCCATGGAGCACATCCGCTTCTCATAGATTCTATGAATTGCGTTATTGTTCTCTGTCTGCTGGCATCCACTGGAGTGACGCTTCGTGCAGGTGTGGACTTTGTTTTGTTCGAAGCACCTAGAACAGTGTCTGGCACATTGTGGATTACCATAGACTTTGCTGGATGAATGAATGAATTCTTTCTTTGTAAGATCAATAACATCAATGGGGGGAAAAAAGTCCTTTCCTGAGAAGTCATTATTGTCATTGCACATTCATTCATCTATTTATTTGAAGCACACTCTCTCCCATCTGTATCAGGCCAGGCTGTGTGCTGAGCCCCATTTAGATTTTACCAGTGCTGAGAGCATGACCCTAATCCTTGTATCTAAGTGTTAGTCTCTCAGTTGTGTCTGACTCTGTGACCCCATGGACTGTGGCCCTCCAGGTTCCTCTGTCCAGGGGATTCTCCAGGCAAGAATACTCGAGTGGGTTGCCATTTCCTTCTCAGGGGATCTTCCCGACCCAGGCATTGAACCCAGGTCTCCTAGCATTGCAGGTGGAGTCTTTACCATCTGAGCCACCAGGGAAGCCCAGGTCCTTGTGTATGAAGATAAGCAAATGTTTCTCAAGTCTGGCTTTGCCCTTTTGGAGAAAGCTACTGCTGCTGCTGCTGCTAAGTCACTTCAGTCGTGTCCGACTCTGTGCGACCCCATAGACGGCAGCCCACCAGGTTCCGCCATCCCTGGGATTCTCCAGGCAAGAACACTGGAGTGGGTTGCTATTTCCTTCTCCATTTGGAGAAAGCAGGAGGTCACAGAGCAGGAGGTCACGGTGGTGACACTATGCTCTGGCCATGGCAGGATCCTTTTGCAAGCCCAGCTCCTTCCTCTTGGGTCTGCTGGTCTGCAGTGCTGCAGGTCGTGTGTTTCCTGGTCCACACATGGCACCAGACTGTTTAGGGGCAGGGCTGTCACATGAGTTCCTTTAGTTTTGCTTTTCTGCTCAAAGTGTGACCCAGGGGCAGGGAGCTTGGCAGAAATGCCAAACCTCCAGCCTCCCCCAGACCTGTTGAATCAGAGCACAGCCTCACAAGACCCCAGGGATTCAGGCACACATCACAGTTAGACAAACACTACCTGAAGACTCAAGAGGAAGGTCTGCCACCAGCACACAAAGGACAGTGTTTGGGCTCCAGCTGGAACCCCTCACAAGTAAAATCAACAGACATTCACTGAGAACCTACCGTGGGAAAGGTAGTGGGTAACACATCTCAGTTTAGGATCACACATTCCCACCCAGGGAGTTGGGGTCCAGCATCCAGAGCAGGTAGCAAATTGATACCTAATGTTTTCTTTGCATGACGGATCAACCATCATAGTGAGTCCAATATTAACTCTAGATATAGTTTAGCTGCCCGGGAATGCAACTCCATCTTCACTGCTGATCTGGAACCAGGAACTCAGTCTGTCCTGCATGTGTTAACATGGGCGGGAGTCATGACCCACCCAGTCTGGTCACCAGTCAAGACAAGTCCGGTTGGATATGATGCAATGTTGAAATAGTTTAAGCTGTAGATAAATAACAGGGACCTACTGCACAGCACAGGGCACTGTATTCAATATCTTGTAATAACCTTTAATGGAAAAGAATCTGGAAAAAGACTATATATGTGTATAAAACTGAATCACTTTGCCGTATATCGGAAACACTGTAAATCAACGATACTTACAAGAAAATAAAATACTTTCAGCTGAAACCTTTCTAGGATGGAAATGAAAGCAAGAGACAGAAATGAGACGTGTAATCATGTGTATTCTCTCTTTTGAAAAATCAGGGATGTCCTGCCATTTACCTTGAAGTTGCCTTATGCCATTTCAACAGCCAAGACCGAGGCTCAGCTTGAAGAACTCGCCCAGCTGGGACTAAGTAAGTGGGTGCCCTTGCCCAGCCTCTTGTCATGCATGGGTGGACCAGAGCCAGTGGCCCGTGATACATTGTTGCATCAGAATGTAACCCTCACCTCCATGGCAGAACTTCAGGAGGCCCTGAGTCACACCTTTTGAGAGTCTTTTTCTAAGTCAAGCATTGAACCAGCTCTCAGAGGCAGGTGCTGGGTTTGCCTGGGGAGCTCCCACAGTTCTCCCCAGCACCTCCTGTTGATGAGTTTGAGCTCCCCCAAATGTCCGGCCAGTGTCTGTCATAGGTCCTGCCTTTCTATGGCATCTTGCTGGGGAATGGCCGTGCCTGATGGACAGGGAAGTCCAGCGCGGGCACCTCCCCTGAGCTGTATTCTAGAACACACGGCGTTGACGGCACTTCTGTGCTTTGAGGAATCTAACTGCACGGGCTTCCAGGGAACATCTGTCTCAGTTCCTCTCTGTCTCAGTTCCGGCCCCGGTGTTGTTCTCGGGCACGCCCCTCACCCTGCCCTGCATCCCCACTCCGGCCAGCCAGATGTTCACTTCCCCTCGTGCCCCTCAACCCAGCCCCGTGCTGGGCAGTGGATGGTAGGGGCTCAGGACATACCATGCCCCCAACGTCACTTCTGGGTCCTGTTGCCCTGGGGAATCTATGTGCATTTGACTTTCACACACACACACACAGACACACACAGACACACACACACACACACACACAAAATGTTGTCCTCCTTGATGAGAAAGGGGAATTCTCTTAAGATTTCAGGGCTCCATACTTCAGATAGATGAACAACCAGGCCATGGTATTTGAGTGAGAGTTTGGGATTTAGAAGTGCAAGTCCCAGGATTCTTAGAACCTAAGAAACTGTGATACTTGACCCAGCAAATAAGAAATGTCCTTCCTTGGGCACGTTTTCCCCTTACTCTAAAGAATTTGTTCTGATGGGGGTGCCATTGCCAGGGGAGCCTGCAGAATACACAGAGAAGCCTGGAGTTGAGTGTCATGGTCCCCTCTGAAACCTAGATTGCCTCAGAAGAATTGCCACATGCGTCCAAGGCCTGCCTGATGGGCAGCTGGGTCGCAGGACAAGGAAGCAGAGTCCTGGTAAAAACAACAGGGCCACGTAAGTGTCCCTGCTGAAAAGTCATGCCTACCATCTCTGCCACTGAGCTTTATACACCTTGGAGACAGTTCAAAGCATTTCCTGAGTTTAAGGTCACATCACCACCTAGATTCTAGCCCTGCTGAGGACATGTTCCAGGTCTCTTTCCTCTGATGACCTCCGTCCACTGGACTCCTAAGTGGATGGTCCACCTGCTATGTGTGCTTCAGACCAGGGCTCAAGGACTAGAGTATCTGGGGGCAGCCCTTGCCCCCTGCAAAGGCTGAGACAAAAAAAAAAAACCTGTTCTGGTGGCCACTCGCCAGAAGCACATTTTTTTTTAAAGCGAAAGTATTAATCGCTCAATCATGTCCCAATCTCTGTGACCCTGTGGACTGTAGCCCACCAGGCTCCTGGGCTCCTCTATCCATGAAGTCTTCAGGCAAGAATACTGGAGTGGGTAGCCTTTCCCTTCTCCTGGGGATCTTCCCAACGCAGGGCTCAAACCCAGGCCTCCTGCATTGCAGGCAGATTCTTTACCGTCTGAGCCACCAGAGAAGACCATAGATATTCAACGTGTAATTGTTACTGTGCACTTCATTTTGTGAAGAGACATCCCTTTTTAAAACCCTGTACCTCATGTATTTGTTCATCCAACAAGTGTTTCTGGAGGGTCTGCTATATGGCAGCCACAGCAAGGGTTTAAGGATCCATAGGGTCTCTTCCCCTTGCCCACACCCCAGCTTTATAGTCTGTATGGGAACAATACATACACAGAAACTATATATTCTATGTTTGCAAAGTCTTAACAATGGTGACAGTGGGAATTTAAGGAGGCTTAAATTTCGAGCTAGAGCAGCCCTATACTGGCCACTATAAAAATATGTAAGGCCAGCCAGTGCGCACTTTTAAATTTCGTAGTGGCCACATGAAAGAGAATTAAAGGTGCAGTTAATTTTTATAATTTATTTACCGTGTGAAATGCTATTTCAATATATCATCCCTATTTTTTAAAATAGTAATGAAATATTTTACCTTCTTTTTTCCTTGCTAAGTGTTTGAAATCCAGTATATATTATATCCTTACAGCACATTTCTATTCAGGCACTAAATTTTCAGCAAAAATACATAGATCAGTATCTAGAGTCCATTAAATTTACAACTGAAGAAGTAGTTTCGCATACCCAAGTTCCAGACCTACTTGAGTTTCCCAGTAATGGAATTGTCCAGTTTTACATTTAAATGGGTTTACATGAAATAAGATGGAAAATTGAGTCCCTCATTGCACAAGCTGGATTTCAAGTGCTCACTGGCCACAGGTGGCTGCTGGCTCCCCTGTTGGACAGCACAGACCTAGAGGGAAGGAAGGACGGCAGAAAGCAGGCAACAGGAGCCAAGGTCAGGGCAAGGCGTGGCAAGGAAAAGGCAGGCCCAGGGCTCCCAGCCTCGCCCTCTCTCCAGACCCTGGTGACCAGCCATGCTGGGCCCTTAGGAAACAAACAGTTTCAGCAAACACAGCAAGGCACAGCTGTAAAGAGAGCAACCTATTCCAGATGGAAATAACACCAGGTATTTATCAGCACCACAGCCTCCCTTGATTCGCATGGAAGACCAGCCTGTCCGTCCAAGGACGCACAGGCAGGGTGGCTGCGATCACAGCGATGTGCCCCACTCCAGAGTGTGCTGAGCCGCAGTGGCCATGGCTAGGAGGCTGGAAGATTTGGCAAGAGTGGGCAGCAAACCACAAAGACGGTCAAACTTGCACTTATCCTTGGCCTGAGCCCAGTTGTCCTGTTTTTTTTTTTTTTTTGCTGATGGGCCCTTTGAGTGCATTTTTCCTCCTTTTGGGTTTTAATGCTGAATGTGTAAAACCCCAGGCAGATTGTGTAATGTCCTCAGGCCCAGCTGCTCGTCCTGCCCATTAAAGGGGAACTGCGGGCTCTGGGAGGCAGAGGAGGGCACCCCAGGATAAGGGGATCCATTGGAAAGGGTGCTGCTGCTGGGAGGGCAAACTCCTTCTTGGTGGAGCAAGTGGCCCCCCACCCCGGGGACCACACCCCGCCCCCCGCAGCCTTCTCCCAGCTCCCACTGTTCCTTTTTTTCTCACCTGGGGGAGGGCTGGGCCCGCTGTAGGCAACAGCCAAGCCATTTCTCAAGAGCCTTGAAGCCCAAAGCCTCCCGAGCCTTCCTGGGAGCCTGCAGCTGGGCCTGGCAGTATTTCCAGCCCTTCCAGTAAAGGAATGCAGTTAAAAGCAAAAAGAGAGAGAGAGAGAGAAAGGAAAACACCACACTTCAGCGTAGCACCTCCCCTCCAAAGCCATGCATTGCCAGGCAAGTGTGCTGTTTGTGATGGACCGGCCGAGTGCACTGTATTTACATTCTTGTGTTCACTGATAATGACTTTCAGATTTTTGGAGCTCTCCAGCTGACAACAAACCCCCAAACCCTCCACCTCCCCATAGGCCTCCCTCCTCCGACGGCGGCTACGACGATGGCGTGGGTCCGGCCTCCTCGCGTCAGCTCTGCCTGATAAATGGAGTGCATTCTATAAAAACCAGGACGCCCTCGGAACTGGAGTGCAGCCAGACCAACGGGGCCCTGTGCTTTATTAATCCCCTCTTCTTCAAAGTGCACAGCCAGGACCTCGGCGGGGGCCCCCGGCGGCCCTGCACCCGGACTCCCGACGCGGATGGCACCGAGAGGCCTCGGTCCCCGCCGCCCAGGCCCCCGCCGCCCGCTATTCATAGTCAGCCCGCCGGCCCCCAGCTGGCCGGGCCCGCGGCGCCCCCGGCCGGCATGCCGGAAACCGTCGCCCTGCACCAGCCCGGGGACGCGGCGCGGCTTGGAGCGAAACCCACCCCCGTGCCTCCACCCCGGCTCAAGAAGCAGGCGTCTTTCCTCGAGGCGGAGGGCGGCGCCAAGACCTTGACCGGCGACCGGCCTCGCCCGGAGCCCGCGGCGGGCCCGGCGAGCGGCGCGGCGGGGGGGCCTGCCCCGGCGGAGACGGAGGCGGAGGCGGTCCTGGCCTCGGGGGATTGCGCAAGGGCCCGGCGCGCCGCCGCGTCGGCCTCGGCATCCCGGCCCCCGTGGCGCGCGGGCCGCCAGCGGCTGAGTGACATGAGCCTTTCCACTTCCTCCTCCGACTCGCTGGACCTGGACCGCAGCATGCCCCTCTTTGGCTACGAGGCGGACACCAACAGCAGCCTGGAGGACTACGACGGCGAGAGCGATCAGGAGACCATGGCCCCCCCCATCAAGTCCAAGAAGAAGCGCAACAGCTCCTTCGTGCTGCCCAAGCTCGTCAAGTCCCAACTCCGCAAGATGAGCGGCGTCTTCAGCTCGTTCCTGACCCCGGAGAAGCGCATGGTGCGCCGGATCGCCGAGCTGGCCCGCGACAAGCGCACCTACTTCGGCTGCCTGGTGCAGGACTACGTGAGCTTCCTGCAGGAGAACAAGGAGTGCCACGTGTCCAGCACCGACCTCCTGCAGACCATCCGGCAGTTCATGACCCAGGTGAAGAACTACCTGTCCCAGAGCTCCGAGCTGGACCCCCCCATCGAATCGCTGATCCCCGAAGACCAGATAGGTGAGTACCACCTTGCCTTTAAAATACGTGTGTGTGTGCGCGCGCGTGTGTGGAATTGCTTATACCTGCTATCGAGAAAAGATACCAGTGGAATTATTTAAAAACAGAAATTCACAGCCGTAGAAAGAAACTTATGGTTATCAAAGGGGGAAGGGGAGGGAGGGATAGATGAGGAGTTTGGGATTAACAGATACACCCCACTGTAGGTAAAATAGATAAGCAACAAGGACCTACTGTATAGGTAGGATCTATACACTTAACAGTTATAACTTAACAAGGACCTATATACTTAACAGTTTGTAATAACCTATATGGGAGGAGTCTGAAAAAGAATACGTCTGTGTGTATCTATATATGTGTATACATATGTGCTCAGTCACTCGTGTCCGACTCTGTGCAACCCCACAGACTGTAGCTCACCAGGCTCCTCTGTCCATGGGATTCTCCAGGCAGGAATACTGGAGTGGATTGCCATTTCCTCCTCCAGGATGTGTGTGTGTATACATATCTGAGTCAGTTTACTATACACCTGAAACTAATAGGACTTTGTAAATCAACTATACTTCAATAAAACGACCATATATTTGTCGCCTATGGACTGGCAGGACAGTGTAGCCTGTGTTAGTTCTCTTGGGTGGCATTTTCTCCGGAGTTCAAAACAGCAACACACTCCACCCCCTGGGCTGATCTGAACTGGAAACACAGCTTCTTGAAGTTGACTTCATGTTATATACCTCGCTTGGGGGCTGAGCATCAGGCTCGGACACGTTTGGCGGAGCAACTGATGGGAGCCGCAGATGGGTCTGTTCAGCGGTGGACCATTCCGGTTGCCTGCCTGATGTTCGCTCTGTGTGGGCCTTGAGGATCTCCTGAAGGTGTGTCTCAGCAAGCCGTGGGGGTTTGTGCTGTACTGGTTGGAAAGTGCCCTTTTTTACCCTCAGAGGAGGGCAGAGGCCACGGTGTGCAGCTGGGTGAGTTGCCACAGGGAGCAAGCACCAGTGCAGCAGAATATGACAGCGTCAAAGCCCCCAGGGACCCCCTCCCTGTCCCCCTTCTCCCCAAAGGGTAACTGCCCTGTGGGCTTCTAATCACACAATTCAATAAGTTTGGGAGTAAGCAAAAACAAAAAAAAGTCAAATGGACAAGTTCGTTTTGTGTATCTTTAAAAATAAGTATCAAATTTTGGGGGTCACATGAAAGGTGTTTTCTCCAAAGTCAAGGGGAAATAACTTTCTTTCTAACCTCATTGGAGAGCTTAATTGCTAATAGTTACTTTGGCCAAGGGAAGATTGAATTTGGCAAGACCTCTCTTTTTCCAGGGCTAGAGTCTTAAGGGATTTTTTTTTTTTTAACTTCAGAAGATTGACTCTGAAGGACAAATTTCAGAGACCTCATTCACTGGGCAGCAGCGATCAAAAAGAGCTACCCAACTTTTCTAGGCCGTTCATAAAGCAAAGCTGGAATCGGCTTCTTTCTGATTGGGTCTGTTTGTGGAAAGTAGTAAACAGCGTGTGGTTTGCTGGTGGTGTCTCCCCGCCTCTCTCTCTCTCCCCCTCTCCTTGAAGTGAGTTTCAGCAGCTTTTTGATTTTCTCACAAAGGAATCAAAGCCTTGTTTGTTTTCCTGTGGCTTGCGCCTGGGTGGGTGGGGCGTGGTTAGAGCCCGGCTGCTGGAGAGAAAACTGGAAGGAATGTGCCCCAGGATGTGCCTTGGGGATGGAAATGCATGCCTTCGAGACAACGGAAGAGCGGCCCGGCCCTCTCGGTTCCACCCCCCCGTCCCCGAGCCTGCCTCTCAGGGGAGACCGGCTCAGATCCCGCACCGGCGGGAGAGCCAGGCGGGCGCTGATGTCAGCGCTGGGCTATGTGGCCGCAGTGCCAGCCAGCCCACGGAGACGAGGCTCCTCCCTGGGGCGCCAGGCCTTGCCTTCCTTCCCCGCCAATGCCGTGAGCACCGACCGAAGCTGCCGGTCCTTCCGGGGGGCGGGGGTGGGGTGGCGTGGGGGGAAGCTCTCCTGATAGCGTATCGGAAGGTGACAGTTCAGATAGGGTATTGCTGTTGGTTGGAGCCCGGATCTCATCTTCTCCAAAAAATGATTTGAATGTGGCCAGCAGTCTTTGACACAAACGGTTTGCTGCTTTGGAAAAATGGAGCTTTCCATCTAAAAATCTAAGGTCATGAGGAGGGAAGCTGACATCCAGGCTGCCTGTCCCAGCCCTGGCAGTAGGTCTTGGCCTCAGCCCTGTGAAGCCGGCATCCGTGCGCCCTGGAGCAAGGCTGGGTTCTGCCAGCTGGAGCCAACTGTCCAGGGCTATACCGGCCTCACCTGTGCAGCTTCTGAACTTTCTTCTTTGGATTCAGAGCCTGTTTTTTTGAGGGGACTTCCCTGGTGGCCCAGTGGTTGCCTTCCACTGGACCACTGGGGAATGTGGGTTCAACCTTTGGTGGGGGAGCTAAGATCTCATGTGCCTCGTGGCCAGAAACACAAAACATAAAACAGAAGCAATATTGCACCACATTCAATAAAGAGCTTAAAAATGGTCCACATTAAAAAAAATCTTATAAATTAAAAAAAATTTTTTTTACTTTGTTTATTTGGCTGTGCTGGGTCTTTGTTGCTGCACAGGTTCTTCTCTAGCTGTGGCAAGCAGGGGTTACTCTCTAGTTTCGGTGCACGGCTTCTCATTGTGGCAGCAGCTTTTGTTGCAGAGCACAGGCTCTGGCGTGCAGGCTAAGTAGTTACGGCACACGGGTTTAGTTGTCCAGCAGCACGTGGGATCTTCCCGGAGCAGGGATCAAACCCATGTCTCCTGCATTGACAGGCAGATTCTTTACCACTGAGCCACCAAGGAAGCCCCCCACCCCAATTTATTTTTTTTAAACCCTGTGTTTTGAACCTTACCCCTCTGCCCTGCTGGTGCCTATGTTCATATTTTCTCATAAGAAACTAAGGAGATTGGAAAAAAAAAAAGAAACTTAAGGAGATTGGAAAACATTGTTTAATTGTGTTATACACCTAATAGGACTACAATATTTGTCAATTGTATCTAAATGAAAATTACTTTAAACATTTAATTTGTAAATTCAAGGGAATTAGAATAGTAGGCTCACCATTAGTAGAGGCAGCTCAAACTGGCACTGTCTGCGGATATGTGGGTGTACCCAGACAACACACTGCCACACTTTTTTATTGTTTGTTTTATTTAAGCATTTGCATTAAAGCAGATGCTTCATCATATCTGTTGCTTCATCAATGAAACCATTATTCTGTTTTGAGAAGTGCAGAGAATGTGCTGGGCTTTTGAAATTAAGAGGAAGGCGAGCCAAAGCAGAAGGTGACCTGAGAAACTCATCACGTGCCGAGTTGTGGGGAAAGATGTGATCCTAATGATTAGAAAACCGGTCCCCTTAAATGTGCCAGTTTAGATTCGGACTCTGGCAAGAAAATGGAGTCTAAATGATCTGTTTTACATATTCCTCAATGACGGGCTCACTAGTTTACTAAGACCTTGTTAACACAGTGATTCCTTTGAGCTGTGTGATCAACTCACGGTTGGTACCTTTGTGTAGATTTTGTTCTGTTTTGCAAATTCAGGAACGGAAGTCAAGATGTATAAAGTGACTTGTGGAGGGTTATGCTGCTGGTGGGTAGGGGAGATTAGATTCAGCCTGGGTCTCCTCTTGTTTATCAGTTTATTTTCACCCGTCTCACTTCCTGAGAGGTTATAATTCACTTTGAATGGATTCACTTTAAGTGCCACCCGCAGGATTCCAAACCTCAAATTTCTTCAGAACCGGTGTCAACTGATGCTTGCTTGTAAGGCTTTTCAAGAATACCAGTTGGGTTTCTCTTCTTCAAAAAAAATCTAGTCCTGTCCTCCTTTCCCACAGCTTCTGGGGGAGAGCGTGCTGATTGAGGAGGTGGAAATGTAAAGCCTAGATCTACAGAATTCCATCCTGTCATTAAGGAAGTTGGAGGAGGTATTTCAGTGCTGTAACCCATGTAGAAATCCATCACTCATATGTGAAAAAGACCCATGTGAATGCATGTGCATTTAAGTGTTTGGATACAATGCTAATCTTCACAAAGGAGTTCTTCAGTTGCACAGAGAAAAGCCAATGAAAAAACCAAATAGCTCTCACCCAACTACCACTTTGTCCATGTGCTCCTGTCGTAGCCCTGTAGGTCAGCACTTGCCAGGTGAGAATGTTACGATAAACAGTCTCAAAGCTGTAAAATTGCCAGCCTAAATGGTGGTGCCCTATCGTAGAGAATTTGACTTCTGTTTAGACTGCTCTTTAAAGCACTGCTGCACAAAACCCTGCCGTGTAGAGGTTCTTGAACAGATGTTGGTTGATTGACATCAGCTTTGCTCTCCTGGTAGGAGGATGAGATAAGTTCCCATTCGACCTAGCTCCCTCTTGATTCCAGGGCCCCATATCGTGTTTCCCTTGTGGCAAGCTCTCTACCCTCCACTCTGCAAAAGTGGTATGTGCAGGGACAAGCAACTGCTTTAACAAAAGCATGTATACCATTTGGCATCCTCCTCAAAAGCCCAGGATCTGTAACTTCATGGACAGAGTGAAGTGTACTCACCCCTGAGTGCCCCGCCCAGTAAGGTATAGACCCTGTGACATCCTTTGTTATCCCAACACTTGCTCCTTATTGGTGGGTTTCACATCACACCACTTCCGCTTCAGTCTCTTTCAACCAATGAGAGAACTTAGTCCCAACTTTCTGGTAGTGAAATCTACACTTTATAGAACTTGCATTTTTGTGGATACTGTTTTGATTTTCTTCAAGCAAAAGAATTTTTACTTCTGATTTGATATTAATCTTAAGGAAATCCCTCTGTTTTCAAGTCTTGTTTCAAGAAAAACAAAATTTTTCCAACTCCCAAAAATGTTAGTAATCCTCAACTTTCTATTTCATTCAAATTGCACACAAATACTCAACAAAGATAGAGAGAAGCCAACTGTATTTCTAAAAGTCAGTGATGA